GTGAGGGGGCAGAGGGGACATCTCTGGATGATGTGGGGGCTGTCCCTGAGGTGACGTAGGGGACTATCTGTGAGGGGGCAGAGGGGACATCTCTGTGTAGGGGACTCTCTGAGGTACATTGAGGACCATCTCTGAGGTGACGTAGAGGCTATCTCTGGGTGGCATAGGGACAGTCCCTGGGGTGGTGTAGGGAATTGGATCTGTTGTGACCTAAGGACTGTCCCTTCACTGAGGTAGGGGCTGGCCCACGGCTGCCTCGTGCACCTCCTCTGACCACTGGCACAGCCCAGCGCAGCCACTGAACTCCTTTGTTTCCCTGATCCAAATATAAACTTTCTTAACTTAGAAAACTGCCATCCCTTCCCTTTTCTCCATTTATAAGCAATTTCGTACTAGAGAAAATATTAAAGAAAACCAGGCTTATACACATGATGCTAATTCTCTGACCTAGTTTTGGCTTAATTCTTACATTCTTTCCTTCAGCTTCTTGTCTTGCTCGGTTATGAAAGATTTTATGTCCCTGGTGTATCCCACCCAGCAAAGACCACTTTAAAACAAAACAAAATCTCCCCTCCTTAAGGTGGCCTCTTGTTGGCCAGGGGTCTAGGCTGGAGCAACTCTGCTCACACTGCACCCGGGGCCCCCCCACCTGGGGAGACATTGCTCACACTGCACCTGGGGCCCCCCCACCTGGGGAGACATTGCTCACACTGCACCTGGGGCCCCCCCACCTGGGGAGATGCTGCTCACACTGCACCCAGGGCCCCCCCCACCTGGGGAGATGCTGCTCACACTGCACCTGGGGCACACTCCCCCCCACCCCATCTGCCCCGTCTGGGGACACTTCCATTTGTCACCAACCCTCCTTCCCACCTTCACTCTGTTTTGTCCTTAAAGGGCCCAGAATACTGCCACCCCCATTTACAAACCATTCTACCACATAAAATGGGTTTTCTTTCTTTTTCTCACAAAACTTCATCAAAATAACCTCTCCTGGTGGGTCAGGAAGATGCCAAGCACAGAACTTAAAACAGATTTTGCAAGATGACTGAGGACCTCAGGAATCAGCAGGCCCCAGCTAACCTCAGGCAGCAGTGCCATCCCTCTGAGACAGTGTCCCCCAGAAAGTGGTACAGTGGCACCACCCCATTGGGCAGGAGTGAGGATTAAACAAGGGGCGACATGCACTTGCTTGGCCTGTCGTGGGTGCGAGGAGTGCAGCTTGCTACAGTTTTTTTCATGGTTACTAGTGTCTTCCAGGTTATATGCTGAAAGTGTCTGAACTTTACTGTCTTTCCGTGGGTGTATGTCATTGCCTAGTGAGTGGTACGCCCACTGAGCTGTCCCAAAGGGGTGGCTCGTCATGGGTGGCTCAGCCCTTTCTCATGGTCGTCTCTTCCTTGGCTCTCTGATTTTCCCACCAGCCAACAGCAAGTCGGAGGGATCCCCTGTGCTCCCCCACGAGCCTGCTAAGGTGAAGCCAGAAGAATCCAGGGACATCACCCGGCCCAGCCGACCAGCTGTGAGTGCCTCTCTGAGAGTCATGAGCTCCTTTCATTTACCACAGGACAGAGTAGTCGGGGATTATGGACAAAGCTGTTGAGATTAATAGAAAGAATGGGTGCTGGAAACATCTAAAAGGAAGTCAGACCTGATAAGAAAGAACTGAACAGGTCATGGGTTGCTGTCCCCTGCATTTGGACATTTTGCTGGTCATCGGCTTTCCCTTAGAGATAAAACAGGAGGAGAAATAACTCCATAATTTATACTCAGCAACTTGGGCAACAGATGTTGAAACTAGCAGTTAAGGAGAAGTAGATCTCTCTTTTCTCCTCTGCTCTTTCTCTGTGTTGCTGTCCACATGACCTAATAGTACAGCTTTTCTGCTACTTATAGTATCTCTGGGCCTGTATTTTCTGGACCCAGACTTGACAAGTGTGGTGTGACAGGGCCTGCCAACTCATTGCTATAGCCTCAAAGAAGGAAATTAGAGCTCAGAGGCTAAGATTTGAAAGCTGAAAATTAATTTAGGATGCATTACTATCCATTTACTCTATTTAAATTTTCTGAGAATATTTTCTATGTAGTGAATGTGAAGCCTTTGGTTTACCTCTCTTTTTTATAACTTAAAGTGAGGATGTATACTGAGAGTGATAACAAAGGAACTTGCATCATTCGTAGCTGAGGTTCTCTTTGCCCTTTTATGGTTACCAGTTTTGCACTAATGATTCCAATTTTGTGTCTAACCTGCCACCTTTCCTCTGGCTTTGCCCCCTTCTGTGGACTCTTCTGGACTGGGTTCCTCTCATCTCAGAGCTATAAGAAAGCGATAGATGAGGTCAGTATTGCCTTTTCTCTTGGTCATATCATGATTTGTCAATGAAACTCATTCCCTGATGCTGACAGTCAGAGAGTAGCCAGTGGGCTGTAGATTCATAGCTGCTCACATGCATGGTCTGCTGGGGAGTTTAAAGACCTCAGACCTACCTCTGTAAATGTCAGAGACCTAAAAGTCGGCATTTTCCTTCTAAGCTAAAATGCCACTTTCCCAATGTTCCAGTCTGGCTCGTAACAAGAGCCAGTGCCTTGTGAGTGGCGTTGTCCCCTTCCAGCCTGTACTCCCAGCTGTGCCGGGTGACAGCACACAGTGGCTTTACCGAGAATGAGGAGACACCGCTCTAGGGGACCTCACACTCCTGGTGTGTTGTTTGTGAGCCAGGAGTCATTGGTGTCACTAGGCTAACTGTATGGGGTATTAGCATCATCAGCTTTAGTTGATGAATCCTAGTGAGTTACATGACTTTATTTCCTTATCTATGAAGACATTTTTCCAAGAGGAAAATACATAGTTTTGTCGAACATAGGCTAGGAAGGATGACCACCTTTATGCATTTGTCAGAACTGCATGAACACAGCACAGCAGACTTTTTTAAAGAGCCAGGCCTTGCAAACAGTTCCAAATGCATGGCATCTAAAGTCTGCCATACGGCTTTATGGCTGCAGCTCCGCTGAGCACCATGTTTGTGAAATTATATGGAAGAGCACTGGCTTTGAGCTCACCAAGCTGCATCCAAGTCTTGGCCCCCAGCACGTAACTGGCTGGGACTAGTGTCATAACCTCTCTGAGCCAGAGTCTCCTCGTCCGTAAAGTGAGAATGAAAATACCTGCCCTGCCCCACGGGCAAGATTGTGAAGGATCACTTGGGGCAACGTGCAGAAGCGTTTGCCGAAGCATAAGTGTGGCGGGAAGCCATGCGTTGGTCTTGACCTGATGTGGGTTCGGATGGGAGGCCCAGGGTTGTTTGGCAGATGGGAGAAGCATGTCACCCCGCATCCAGTCTTCAGAGTGATGTAGGAAGTTGTTACTGTCGCCAAAGGGTCCTGCATGTCTGCAGTGTGTGGATGGCCTTCATAGAAAGGAAGACCAGAATATTTCTCACTGCTCTGTGCCGTGGCCTTGCTCACCCCTTTCCCTCATAATAGCAAGAAGAATGGTGGTTATCACAACTTCCATCCATTTCCTCCCAGAACAGGTAAAGAAATAGATGGTGTTGTGGTTGCCAACAGAATGGTTGGTGGGGACACACACATGAATTTGAGAGGAATTTTGTGAATCCAGAAATTGGCATGGACCGGGCTGATGTGAGAACGGGGCACTTGTGGGTTTCATCTGGTTAACCCAGGATGTTTTAGACGTTTAAAAATCACTTTATCCATTTTAGTGTACTGCAGCATGCTGGACAGAGATGGGGGGGGGCAACATAGGGAAGTAATTGCAAGTGACTGAGCGACTGTCAGCTGCATACCAGAAGATGTGGGGCCAAAAGCCCCAGGCGACTCCGGCTTGTGTCTTGAAGGGCACAGGGATCACGGTGTCTCACCCAGGTACAGTTCCTGCAGTCCCCTTCCCTCCGGAGACTGGAGGGATTGTACCTGGGTGAGAGGTTCGGCAAAGTCTGGAAACAGTTTGGGTTGCGGCTGGAAAGTGCTCCTCGAGGGTACCGCAGAGGGTGCTGCTGAGCAGGCCTCAGGTGCACAGGAGCACTCCGCGGGGAGGGGTCACCTGGCCAAAGTGTCAGAGGTGCCTCTGCTGAGATCCTTCTAGCACTGGGCCTTTTCTCCCTTCTCCATTTGTGGGTTTTGCTATGATTTCCCTCTCAGTGACTGTTTGCCATTTAGATAAGCAGGATTGACATGAAGAGTCTTAAAATTCTTTTTGAAAACTTGCTAATTAAATGGTTTAATTTTTCATACAAATCCGTTTAGAGGAGTGTACATTAATTTGGCATTACTTTCTAGTGGTGTGTGAGATTTTGTAGCATGGTCTGTAATTATTTAATTTAAAAGTAAAGGCTGTATTAAATACATATTATTTAATTATGATTTGAAGATTATGCATAGCAAATCCTTGTTTCCCAGTTTTTATCCAATAGTATGTAGGAATCTGGAAAGTTCCAGAACACTCCCACAGATTAGATGGAAGTTGAGTAAAAACCAGTGGTCCAGCTCTGAAGTTAAGTGACTTGCCTAATGTCATATCTTTAGATTTTCTAAAAAAAGAAATAAGTATAATACATAAAGAAAAATCCAACTTAAAATCTTTTAACAAAATTATAGTTCTTAAAAATCGAACTAAAATTGGAATAAACTACAGTGTTTCTAAAAAGTGACCCAGAAGAGCACCTTTTTAGGCAAGGTGAACATAATTGTCAAATTAAGCTTTCCTGAATAAAAATTACATTAAGTCGATTCTCAAAAGTGTTACATCAAAAAAAACCTTGGGTCAGAACCTTTTAACTATCTTCACATTTACTCCATAATATGAAGTAGAGAATCTTATACCACTTTGCCATATTTTTTTTCAGTTACACATTTTCATGCTAAATAGAATTTTCTTTTCCTTTTTAAAATTATTTTAGCTCTGGGGCAGTGCCTGTGGCTCAGTGGGTAGAGTGCTAGCCCAATTTACCTAGGGTGGTAGGTTCAAACCCGGCCCCAGCCAAACTGCAACAACAACAAAAAATAGCTGGGCATTGTGGAGGGCGCCTGTAGTCCCAGATACTCGGGAGGCTGAGGCAAGAGAATCGCCTAAGCCCAGGAGTTGGAGGTTGCTGTGAGCTGTGTGACGCCATGGCACTCTACCAAGGGAATAAAGTAAGACTCTGTCTCTATAAAAAATAATAATAATAATAATTTTAGCTTTGGGCTTGAGACAGCCAAACAATAAATTACTACAAAGTCTTTCTATATATGGAGAAAATGGGTATTGTCTGAGAATAAAGTGTGTAAAGATGGATCTGGACCCAGGGTGTCAGCTTTAGATCGTGTCTGTTCCCTGTGACTTTACATCACAAATGTTTCTGTAGCGGATGGTTGAGAAACAGAACTTCAGCTGAACATACATGCTGTTGGCAGTGGAAGATTAATTTCCTCTGAGGTGTTGCTTTTGAGATACTCATTCTTGTCCCTATGGGATATTCATGTTTCTAACCCTTCAAGCTGTTGCCAATTAAACTTAAAAGGAATTTTCGATTATTTTGAATGTTTCAGGAAATACAGCTTTTTTAAAACACAGAAGCAAAAAAGATTCTAATTAAAAGTGAAATTATAAAGCAGGTCAGAATTTTAGAGTCAGTATTTAGAAAAATTTAGGTCATTTTAATAAGTGAAGTTTTCTTTAAAGCAGTAATCTGTGGACTAACTAAATATTTCCAAATAATTTTTATTTTTAAAAAAGTTATTTTGTCTTGTTTTGAAATGTCAAGGGTAACAAAATCAAGCTCTGGGGAAAATGTGTTATTAATTTAAATAAATCATAGCTAGTCATATTATATTCACAGGATTACTGGTAATATAAATAAACTTTGTAAAACCATATTCTCTCTTTACATTATATAAAATGTTATTTTTGATAAGTAACATTTTAAATACTAGTTATATCCTTTGATGAGACTTAATAAGGTCCTAACAGACATCAACATATAAAATAAATGTATCTAATTTGTTACATTTTACTGGTTTAGAGGGATTATATTCTTTTCTTCTAGTAACCTTAGCAGATGTCTAGATATGTTTCCCTAATGTCCTCAAGTGCAGCTAAAGCTGAGCACCAGCAGTTGTCAGAGGAAGTAAGTAAGAAGCTGAAATCCAGAGATTTGCTTTTCCTGTTTGGACCCATTGCCAAAGAAACCAGAAGTAAATTTGCATAAAATTCTGTTTGTATGGCAGTTTTTCCTCTTTTTTTTTATAGTATACATTATATCGAAACGTGATTGAGCCTTTGTAATACAATTCTGCTTTCACTTCATGGCTGGGTGGACTGAGGTGTGTGCAGGTGTGCGGTGTGCAGGGCCCAGCAGCTGTCTGTGCACAGGACGCACAGTCTGAATGTTCAGGGACTTCCTTTTCCCAAGGGCTTCTATTTAAGTAACTTCAGAACAAATTTAAAAGTCACTATTGCTTTCTGTTCGATAACACCTTGAACTTCTTAAATTTCTAGACCAAATGAAACCCCCTGAGGGTCTCCCCTTCTATCTTACCCTCAGTAGCAACACCCGGTGTACAGGCAGCAGCAGAGAGAGGTGTGGCTTGTTGTCGTCTTCTCAGAATAAAGTTATAATTATCATTGACCTATAGACATTGATCACAGCTTTTCTTCTAACCAGTTAGGATAGATTATCACAAGTCATTCAGGTCACTCAGATGTCTCTAACCCTACATCGAGTGAACTGGGGAAATAGAATACATTTCTGGATTGAAATAAAGAGAGAATATGGCATAAAAACTGTGAGATTTAGTATTTTTCAACAAGTTTCTTTCTCCCTAACCCCTGTCTCTCACTGAATGCTCTGGTTCCCACATGGTCACTAATGTAGGGAGAAATGGTAAGCTGGATGTCGAATTGCTTCCCCTCCTTTGCATGCTGTGTGCTGTAGGGGTCTGGCCAGTGCAGATCAGAGCAGCCGCTTTGCAGAACAGCTCCCTCTGCATTGCTCTGAAAGCATGTGAGTTACAAGGCAGGCGGGTTCACGCTGCCTGCCATGCGCCTGGTGACTAATACCCCATCATCACATCCATAAGGCTGACAGTTTCATCATGCTCATGGAAAACTGAAAAATTATCTCTTCCTCTTGGTGTTTGCACATTCATGTCTGTGTTCTCTGCCAGGGTTTCTGCCAGGTGGCTGGAATTTAAAACAAAAGAAAATGAAACACCCATCATTTTGGAAGAGAACTCCTCTTTTTTTCCCCTGTTGATTTACTCAGCTCTGCGGCTACAAATTTAAGTGGCCCAGGCTTCAGGGCGGGCTGTGACCTGACGTGGCCCCTCTACTCTCCAGGGAATGATGACACGATGAGCCACGGGCCCGGGGACCCGGGATTCACTCTGTTCCGTGACTGATGCTAGACTTTTGGTGCAAGGACAGCCATGGGGGGAAGCCATCACTGCAGGAGTCCCAGAATACTAGGGACAATTTCTAACCCCACATCCTTTCCCATTAACTCTGAGGGTGGCGGGCTTTACCTTTCCAAGATAAAATAAGGGCTCAGTGTTTGTATGTGTGTGCACACACATACACATGCACGTAGAGACATGTCCATTCAGAACTAAACAGTGTCAGTCTAGCTACTGGTTTTGAACAAAGTTTAAATTGATTCATCCTTTCTAGCTTCTCTACACGCCACAAGCATCGTTTTCTTAGCTCCATGCAGCGACTGTGTGTTACAGTCACACAGACAGCTGCTTTTCCTTGCTTTCGCTGGAGTGCTGACTTGCTGAGAGAATAGCTTGGGTTGTATCTGCCTTTCATGTGCTGAACAAACTTCTGTTTTGTAGGATCTGACGGCATTAGCCAAAGAATTACGAGAACTCCGGATTGAGGAAACGAATCGCCCCCTGAAGAAGGTGACCGACTACTCCTCTTCCAGTGAGGAGTCCGAGAGCAGTGAGGAAGAGGAAGAGGAGGGGGAGAGTGAGACCCATGACGGGACCGTGGCAGTCAGCGACATCCCCAGGCTGATGTAAGAGGAGGGAACTGGGCTTCCAGAACAAAAGGACAGAAAACAGGAGTTAAATACACGATGGTATATGGGTCCCTGGCAAGATAAGTTGACTTAGGGATTTGGGTTTTGCTTAGTTCTGCAAATGCCTCTTCCCACCACCGCATAGAACACACACATTTCAACAGGGCTGTGTTTACCTAACTTTCCCCGTGTCATCGGGGTGACGGTCCCTTGGCTGGGTCTCTTGGTTCTTTGCATCTCTAGGACAATTTAGACAACAGGACTTGGCAAGTGCCTTTCCCCATGGGATTGAAAGAGTGACATGGGGGGCAGCAACATTTAGGAACTAAAATTAGCACCAAACATGTACCCATCACCACCACCACCAAACATTAGTGGGGTGTGGGGGCACAGCAGCGTGGACCAGCACCCCAGCATGTGATCCCGAGTCCAGTGGTCATGCAGAGACGCTGCCACTTGTGACTTTTCCCTTCCATCCTCTTTATTGTCCTTTGACTCCATCTGGTTTTCTGTGGTCTGTATCTTTGCCACACATGGCCTGTCGGTCTCTGCAGTCCTGTCTGTGTGTCTGTGTGTGTTTACACCTGCCTGTCGGTCTCTGCAGTCCTGTCTGTGTCTCTGTGTGTGTTTACACCTGCCTG